TTCCCTCCCCCTGTCCCTCTGTCAGGTTCGGCATTATTGGACATATGGAAGTTTGGTAACAAAAATGAATAAATAAAGAAGAGTTTTGGGTAATCAAGGGAGGCTTCTCACTAACAAAGCCTCCCTTTGGCAAAGCAATTTTTTCGGCATAGCGCGGTACGCAGATTTCAGTCATGCTACCATAATGCTGAACAGGACAAGGTAAAAAAAATAATAATAAAAATAAAAAGGTTTGGTTTAACGAGCGTTCCTTTCTGAAATGATACCCTGCAGAAGATAATGCCGAAACTCTAAGAATGACAGAGGTTGTCGGCTCCGGTTACGAGTCCTTAGTGCGAGAAAACAGAAGGAAAGCGGAGGACGGAGGATGGAGAAAGGGAGGATGGAGAAAGGGAGGATGGAGGATGGAGAAAGGGAGGACGGAGGATGGAGAGAGGGAGGAGTGTGACTCAGCTGCTCTCCCTAAAGGCCTCCAGGAGACCGAGAGAGGACTGAAGCGGCACGGATGAGGAAGGGCTGTGCACGCTTCCTCTACTCCACACTCATCTCAAAGCTTCAGGCTGAGAAATAAAAATGAACACATAATAAATAAATAAAAACGTGACCTCGGTTAACCTCTTCGGAGGAGAGAATTTAGCCCAAAGGATGAAAAAAGCATGGGGGATGAGCAATCTGTGTCCTTAAAGGGGACAAACAAGCCACATCAGTGGCCAGTGATGAGAAATGTAAAATTGCGTCTACTCTGTAAGTCGCTTTGGATAAAAGCGTCTGCCAAATGCAGAAACATAAACATAAACAACATAAACATCCCAGAAACAGAACAGTCTGAGGACGATGATAGCATCCAGGCCTCTCTTTTGGCCTGGAAATAAGCCTTTTAAAGGTCTTTGGGTGGAGCTGTGGGCACCGTGGAGCCGGGCCTGAGTCCTAAACCCAGATCTGTCACATATGACACGAGGGCTCCGCGCTGGACGTGATGAAATGAAACAGCATGCTGGAGAGAGTAAGACGGCGCAACGGCGAAGTGGAAAAAAATAGAGCCGTGTTCACAGAAAGAGACGGTGGCGCAGTGAGAGTCTGGGCTACAAATTATTCACGGGCTCTTCTCAAAGCGTTTACGCTGACACGTGTTAGAATTTGGTTATAAGTACTCGCTTTAGCATAGCATGCTATCACATGATCTATGTAAATTACTGATTGTTTTCTTTTCTTTTATAACTATATTTTGTGTTGAAGTCTCTGGCTGTGTCCACAGACTGTCTTTTCTCTCTTTTTCTTTCTCTGTTGCATTAGATCCACCTTTAGGTCAACACACACACACACACACACCATTTGTTACTACATTCCTGTCATCTGCATGAATTAGGACCTGGCCTGTTCGTGCCCAGAGGTAACTGGCCAATAGGACTTGGTTGTGTCCAGTCCTCCTTTGAGGAGGCGGATGGAGCCCAGGAGATAATGCCCATCACCCAGATCTCAGGGCTCTTTACCCACTGAGACCCAGAGAGAGGTTTTAGTCTGTCAGAGCCCAGCTGATACACTTAACTGTGACCAATAAATGTCATTTTTATACTTTTGGTCTACTCTGGTTTATTCTCAGGTTTCCAAACACACAGCTCTAAGACAGAGATCCGCCCAAAGTGGCTGTGATGACGGCATTTCACTGCCAGACAAAAGCGAGAAGCTGGAGAAGGGTAAGAAAGAGGATTTGTTGAAAGGGAGCGACTGGATGTGTACTGGATGGATGGGGGGGGGGGGGG